GAAACACGCTACCCAACGTTAGAGAAGTTCGCCTTGGCCGTCATCGTCGCCGCCCGGAAGTTGCGTCCGTATTTCCAATCACACGCGATCGTCATCTATACCGATCAACCACTTCGGACAGTGCTACACAGCCCCATGCAGTCAGGAAGAATGGCTAAATGGGCCATCGAACTAAGCGAATACGATATTGAGTACCGCTATCGTCCCAGTCTGAAAGTACAGGTTTTAGCGGACTTTATGGTCGAGCTCGCCCCAGAACTCGTGGAGGACGCACCAAAAATCGAAAGCTGGACCCTCTATGTCGACGGATCTTCTTGCAACCAAGGATCCGGAGTAGGAATCCTCTTGCGATCACCGACAGGCGAGGTTCTGAAACAATCGTTGAAACTCGGTTTCAAAGCATCCAATAACGAGGCCGAGTACGAAGCTTTGCTCGCAGGAATACGACTTGCTAGGGGCATCGGAATAAAACATATCCAGGCATTTTGCGATTCACAACTGGTCGTAAGCCAATTCAGCGGAGAATTCGACACCAAGAACGAGCGGATGAGTTCTTACCTGGCGTTAGTCCGATCCGCCACAGCCGAATTCGATAGCTTTTCCCTCACAAAAATTCCACGTAGCGACAACACTTCGGCCGACGCCCTCGCCGCCTTAGCTTCAAACGCAAATCCAGACCTCCGCCGATCCATCCCCATCGAAAGTATCGATCTGCCAAGCATCGCTCAACCTCATGAGATCAACCTCATCATGAACGACTTGGTCCAAATGGAGATCGATCCGGTTGAGAACGAGCCTCATGAGGAAGAAGCCCCCCCGGTCGATTGGCGGGAAGAGATCAAACTCTACATACAAAGCGGTCAGGTTCCTGAAGACCGGTGGCAAGCTCGACGACTAAAAGCCCGATGTGCCAATTACATTCTGACCGATGGAGAACTTCTCCGGAGAAGTTCTAACGGAACCTTCCTTACCTACGTCGATCGAGACGAAAGCGAAAGGGTTATGGGCGAGGTCCACGAAGGAGACGGCGGGAACCATTCAGGTGGACGCGCGTTGGCCCTAAAAATAAAGAAAGACGGCCATTTTTGGCCAACTATGCTCGCCGACTGCGAGGCATTCGCCCAAAAGTGCGAAGCTTGTCAAAGGCACGCCACTTTAAAACACGTACCTCCCGAAGCGCTTTCTCCCGTGACAGCACCCTACCCTTCATGCGATGGGCCATGGACATCGTCGGACCGTTTCCTCCTTGCCGCACTAAAAGATTTTTGCTGGTGCTCACCGACTTTTTCACCAAATGGGTAGAAGCGGAATCGTTCAGTCAGGTCAAGTCGGGCGACGTAACCGGATTCATCTGGAAGTACATTATCTGCCGACACGGTATTCCCTATGAGATCGTCACAGATAACGGATCCCAATTCACTTCTTACCTAACCAAGCGGTTCTTCAGAAAATGGCACATCAAACTCAGTACCTCAACCCTGCGATACCCTCAAGGAAACGGCCAGGCTGAGGCTACCAACAAAACTATCCTCGATGGCATCAAGAAAAGGTTAGGTCGGAAAAAGGGACTTTGGGCCGACGAACTCGACGGAGTATTATGGTCGCATCGCACAACTCCTCGACGCGCTACCGGATTCTCGCCGTTCGCCTTAGCTTACGGTGTTGAAGCAATGGCGCATTCGGAGGTCGGAATACC